CGGTACACGCATAAAAAGAATAAATAATTAAAAAAAAAGAAATTTGTACGCAAACCAATAAAAATGATGTTTGTCGGCGAGCTCTGGTGGTCTAGTGGCAAGAAGGTGTACTGCAATCCCAGAGGTGCACAGTTCAAATCCACCAGATGCTGTGCTGGAGAAGGAGGGACAATCTCCTCCAGTACCAGTGAGATCTGATTTGATGGCACACACACACCCACAAAATAATAAAATAAATTAAAAGTCATGCAAAGGCATCATGGCATGGAGGGTTTATGATATGTGCATGGGTTTCAAGAAAGAGGAGAACAGAGAAAGAATGAGGGGTGTCGAAAAACAAGGCCCAAAAGGGAGAAAGAATCATCTGAGCAGCAAGAGTTTAGCAGGAAGAGGCTTCCAACGCCTGTGGCGTAAAGGTGCAATAATGTGCTAAAAATCTAAGTCCACAAACAGTCTCTTGGAAGCTTTCACAGGATTTCAAAGGGCGAAAGGGACGGCCAGACACTTGTGTCCCTTTCTCATGGGGGCGTTTACGTCCAGCAGGTTTTACAAAAACAGGAAGTGTTAGTTTCATGGTGTAGCAAAAGATACAGAAGGTTGCAGATCCCGGAATCAAAGAATCTCAAGGCAAGTAGGACTCAAGGCTGGGCCTCCACAAAGTTTTATCAAAACTATGCTTTTGTACATAGGGTCGTGATGATCCGGGGGGTGGTGGCTGGTATTTCTGACTCTCTTCGTTATTTCCTTTCCAGGAGGGAGGTGCATCCCCCTTTGGAATATATCTTTCTAATAAATCTAGTCCTGTTTTACAACTGTGGCATTATACAGTATTTGTCCTTTTGTGACGGAGATATTTCACTCAGCCAAATGTCCTCCGGGGTCACCCATTCCATATACTGCAGGACTTCCTTGTTTTTCAATGCCGCGTAATATTCCAGTGTGTAAATAAAGCACAGCTTCTCTGTCCGTTCATTTGTTGAAGGGGTTGTTTCCAGCTCTTTGCAACCGTGAACAAAGCCTCAATAACCATGTGTGTGCATATATCTGCTTGGGTATCCGTGATGATTGCTTTAGGGTATATGCCCAGTAGTGGAACGGCTTATCTTTTTACTTAAAATAAAAAATGAGAAGAAAAAAAAGCTATTGATGAAAGGACCACCCAACCAAACCCTTTTCCGAAAAAAGAGTCCCAAGAATTGTTAAGTATAAAAACAAAGTGAAATCTGTCCAGGAGCTGCCCTGAATGGGTCAGTAAAGAGTCAGTGCAGTATACAACACAAGCAAAAAGAAATAATACTAAGCTTAAAGGGAAACGAAGGATAATGCTAGAACTTTACGAATTTTGAAACCACACGCACATTTTTGTTAATGTGGAGAAGAATGGACATCCCCAAACACTTGACTGTGTTCTCTGAAAATGTCTACTTGGAATAGGAGGCCAAGCAAGGAAACACTATGTGGTTCAAAATCAGGAAAGGAGTGCATCAGGGCTGCGTCCTGTGTCCGTATCTTTCCAAATGACACGCAGAACAGATCTTTTGGGAGGCTGGGCTCTATGAGGAGGAATATGGCATGAGGATTGGAGAAAGATTCATCAACAACCTATGTTATACAGATGACACCAATGTGCTAGCTGAAAAGAGAGGATTGACCTGAAGTGCTGGTTGCAGAAGGTCAAGGGCCGTAGCCTTCTGCATGGAGTGCCATTCTTAACAGTATCAGCTTGCTGGGTTGCGCAATCCACATGTTTGACGCCAGCAGCCAGGACATCAAAATATAAATTTATCCTGGGAAAATCTGTGGTCGGAGACCACTGCAATGTTCTGCAGAGCAACAAAGTCAGGCTGGAGGCTAAGGTGCAGCTAATCCAAGCCAGGGTGCTCACAATTACTTGTTCTGCATCAAGAGACCATAACTAAAGATGAGGGGAAGACAATGGATGCCTTTGGTCTCGGTGCTACAGTGGAGTACTGAACGCACTACAAAAAGCACAAACACGTCTGTCTGGGAGAGACCAGAACCCTAGCAGCTTCTTCTCCTTGGAGGCAATGAGTTTGAAGCTCCAATTCACATTCTGTGGGCATGTGTCCCAGAGGGACGCGGAGGGGTTCTTGGAGAATGACATCACACTGGGAAGGGCGGAAGGACAGTAGAAGATGCCTTTGGCTGAGATGGCCTGACCCAGTGACAGTAGGGCTGATGTGGGAAGATGGGTGTGAGATAGAGGGGGACCAGAATGAGCAAAGAGTTCACAGCTATTGTGCACTGGGTCACGAGGAGTTGCAAGCCACTCGATACTGAATGTAACAACAACAGTGAAACCAGTCCTTCACAAGAAGACACACACGCATCTGATTCCACTCAGATAATGCAGGCAAATGCAGAGTTCACAAACTTCTTGTTTCGGGAGGGTAGTGAAAAAGGAAGGAAATGAAATGACTCGAGGACTCTGAGTTTCTGGGACTGATAAACTGGGAGACTCAACTTGAGTCTCCTTGAGTCAACTTGAGTCAACTTAAGCTATTCTATTACAACT